GTTGTGGTTTATTTGGTTCAGCTGCATACTGCCACCATAAATTTATCCCATATTATTTAGCTGACTAAACAGACATGTAGACAAAGGCTTGAATTCCCAAAATAGAATAAATGGGAGATGAAAAAAGGTTCAAAAACCCCAAATAAGTTTATCAAAATAATTGGTGCTTATTAGGAAGGTAAATTCTGATTAAAAAAAAAAAAGGGGGGGTTTAGAGTCTTATATTTGCCGTTGCAGTGCTTCTTCACAGTCGTGACAGTCTTAGAAGGATCCTGTTACACTGTTTGTTCCCTCCCTCCAGTTTGAAAATCTTCAAGACTCTAGAATATATTTCCTCCAGCTTCATTAATGTTTTATGTCTTTTGCTTTTAATGAATTGGAGAGTTAAAGTGAACAAAATCATTCCACTGATATGTCAGTTTTCCTACTGAAAACTGTTTTTTCATCAATTTTTGCAACTTTAAAACTCATAGTTTCACAGATTGGAAAATATTTATTACAGATTACAGGTAGGATTTGTTTGATTCTTCTATTCAGTGAATATTTGTAAGAACAGATAATTGGGCTAATGAGACTATGAAACATGTATTCTGTTTAAATCAACTGATTTAACTTTAAAATATATCGAAGTGGTAGGAAAGCATGGTGGTTTAGATCTGCCGTTCTTTCAAAATAAAGTTACATTTTATACAATAAAGAATATTAAGGCTTGTTATGAATGTTACCAAAGACGATGTGTGAGGTTTACTTCAATGCATCATTTTTGGCTACTCTGTATTTGAAGGCCAACTGATATTTGTAAGTAACATTAAAAACTATTCACATGAAGAAAGGTATTTTTTATGTTGGAAGGAACTCGGAGTCATTGCAAGATTTTTGATTAGTATTCATGGCATAAAAGGAAGTTATTTTCAGGGTAAAGGAATTTGTGAAAAGATAATTGGTTAGACCAACATTCTCATTAACCTAATTTGCATTAAATGTGCTACTGTGAATTGTAGTTATTGCTTTTCCATTTGAAAGGCATGCTTTGTTAACTTATTTAAAGAGCCTAGTTAAACTGCAGTTTAAGTCATACCCTTTAATTCAGCAATACAATATCAAACTGAGGATCTGTTATTACCAACTTTGTGAGTTTGGAGAACTATAAACCAGTTCTTGATCCCAGTGGATTTTCCTAATGAAGTAGATTTGTTTAGCTGCTTTACATACGGTCATTCTCAGATACTGAAACAGTTCAACTAATCCTTCAGTTTAATGTTACTTTTTTATAAGAGCAGAGGAAATTATTTCCTCTGTGACACAGCATGAGAAATAACTGAAGGAGTCTTGGGGATATTGGAAGAAAATGCTTATGCCTTTGTTCTAATAGTCTTCAGACTTTGGGGATAATGTGGTTTAATTATTTTTCAATAAAACTTCTTTACATGTGTAACTAAATTGAACCTTTAAAATATGAGCTGTTAAAACATAAATTAATTTGCACATTTTTGAACCCATTTTAAAATCGTAAGACTGAAGAATGAATTTGCAGTTCTTTAATTTTTGGCATTAGTTATTACTTCTTAGCAGTATGTGGAAAAAAGGAGGTGATTGGTAGCAGCCAACATGGCTTCACCAAGGGCAAGTCATGCCTGACAGATTTGGTGGCCTTCTACAAGGTGTTTACAGCGGTAGTGGACAAGGGAAGAGCAGCTGATGTCCTCTACCTGGACTTGTGCAAAGCGTTTGACACTGTCCCTCACGATACCCTGGTCTCTAAATTGGAGAGACATGAATTCAACAGATGGACCACTTGGTGGATACAGAACTGGCTGGACGGTTGCACTCAAAGAGTTGTGGTTAATGGCTCGATGTCCAAGTAGAGACCAGTGATCAAGTGGTGTTCGTCAGAGGTTGGTACTGGAACCAGTGCTGCTCAAAATCTTTGGTAACATGGACAGCGGGATTGAGTGCACCCTCAGCAAGTTTGCCGATGTTACCAAGCTGTATGGAGAGGTAGACATGCTGGAGGGGAGGGATGCCATCCAGAGGGACCTGGACAGGCTGCAGAGGTGGGCCTGTGCAAACCTCATGAAGTTCAACAAGGCCAAGTGTAAGGTTCTACATCTGGGTCGGGGCAATCCCAAGCATAAATACAGGCTGGATGGAGAATGGATTGAGAACAGCCCCAAGGCGAAGGGCCTGGGGGTATTGATTGATGGGAAGCTCAACACGAGCCGGCAATGTGCGCTTGCAGCCCAGAAGACTGACCGCTTCCTGGGCTGCATCAGAAGTGTGGCCAGCAGGTCAAGGGAGGTGATTCTGCGCCTCTACTCTGCTCTCCTGAGACCCGACCTGGAGTACTGCATCCACCACTGGAGCCCCCAACATAAGAAATACACGGACCTGTTGAAGCGGGTCCAGAGGAGGACCACAAAGGTGATCCGAGGGCTGGAGCACCTCTCCTATGAGGAAAGGCTGAGAGAGTTCGGCTTGTTCAGCCTGGAGAAGAGAAGGCTCCAGGGAGACCTTATAGGAGCCTTCCAGTATCTGAAGGGGGCCTACAGGAAAGATGGGGAAGGACTTTTTACACGGGCATGTGGTGATAGGACGAGGCGGAATGGTGTCAAACTGGAGGAAGGTAGATTTAGATTAGACATTAGGAAGAAATTTTTCACTCTGAGGGTGGTGAGGCACTGGAACAGGTTGCCCAGGGAAGTTGTGGAAGCTCCATCCCTGGAGGTGTTCAAAGCCAGGTTGGATGGGGCTGTAAGCAACCTGGTGTTGTGGGAGGTGTCCCTGCCCATGGCAGGGGATTGGAACTCGATGGTCTTCAAGGTCCTTTCCAACCTAAACCATTCTATCATTCAATGATTCTATTCTAGATATTTTGAAACAGAGGGATGGGATTTATTTACTGTTGTGCTGTGTGCAGTGAAGAGGAAGGCATGTTTGTCAGCAGTGAGTCAACTGTGAGTGATCAAGTTCAGGATCTCATTTTTCCATACTGCTGAGCATGCTTTGCTGTCTGGGAACCTGGTGTTTGTGAATTATGTGAACTACACATTCATAAAGTTAGGCTTCTTCTCAGATATCTAAATGTTAATTTCAGTGCTTAATTTTAGTTATTTGCACTTGTACTGTTTGACACCGGTTGTTTTCCAACCAGTAGTATCTGGAGGCATTGAATGTGAACCAAAGCCCAGCTGATTAGGCAAGGTCCTATGTCAGACCGTAATGCTGAACAATGTTAGATCAACCTAATGAAAACAGGGAGATGCACATTCAAGCTGGACATGGTAATGGTCATAAATATCTATATAAATACTCAGCTGAGAAGGTCCCTTTCTTGCTGGAATGGTTCTGAAGATGATGGTGATGGACATGCCAGGTACACAGCGCGATTAGTATATGAGCACATTGCATACCCAATGAGCATACGTGAAATGCAATGGATTAGAAGTGCGCTTTAGATATTAAAAAAAATGCCATGGCCAATAAATCTTACATTCCAGCTGGGAAATGGTTAGGTCTCTGTTTCTTTATTGTTTGGCACAGAAATATGTGGATTACTGTGCCATTTTGCTGCTTATTCATTCTGTTTGCAATACAGAAGCTGGCTGATGGTTGCACTATCGAGTAAAATTGCTGAAAGGCTGAACTCCCCTACATTTTGGGACAAGCAGACAATGGAAAAGAAGCCAGTTTTGGGGACAGCGCGTTATATGTTCGGATTTTGTACGCAGGATTAAGGGCGTGATTCAGGAATTGTCACAGATATGAATGGCAGTTAAGATATTGAGAGCCAAACGGAAATTAGATGCTCAGTTGTTGGTAATGCCATGGAAAACTTCCTCTAGCGCATTCATTCTCTATTAAGGATTGGGAAAGAATGAGCTGTTGCTTCTCAGCTAACTGCTGGACTAAATCCTAGTGATCTGCAATTCTCGGGATCCAATTTCATCTCCTTCACACAATAATTTTTTTTTTTTCCCCAGTAGAGCTCCTGAAACAGCTCCTTGTTCTCAAACTGCCGGGTCTGAGGCAGCGTGTGTCCCGTACTCTGCATCAGCAGCATCTTTGCTTTCTGTTACTGTAGACCTTTCGCTATCGTCTTGCGACCCTAATCTTTCATGTTTCCTCTGTCACAGGCCTTACTCATTTTTTTGAGTTCCTGGAATTCTTGTGTGTTTTTTCAGTGAATAAATTTACAGGACTATCTTCTGCAACCCGGCGTGGTACTGCAATAGAAATACTGCATCTAAAACTTTTGTTTTATTATTTTTAATAATAAATATTTTTATTGTTTTTAATAACCCAAGCCCTGCTATAGCAAGAGGAAGTTCCTACTGCCTTGGAGGAATGTGGTAGGGGGTTAGAAGATCCTATAACTAAGGTTACATATGTTGCTTAATTAGCCCTGTTTAAGGTTTCTTTTAATTCAGTCCCTTATGCACATGAATTGGAGTTCGGGGTTCAGTACCTTTTTTTGATGACATGCTGGAGTAGGGACTAGTTCAAGAAAGAGAGAGTCTGGAGAAATTAGCTACCAGAAAACAAGAAGTCGTTACTTGGCCTGTACAAAATAATTTTTAGGACATGTATAATCCATGTTAAGAGAGATCTGCATGTTGATAAGAGGTCTATCCACAGCACATTCAAAGCTTTCCATAAAAAAATGCAGTCTGTCCATATTCCTATTCCTGTTGTCCTATTCCTGTTGTCCGAGTCAGACTTTTCAATGAAAAATCTCACTTGTTCACGTGGCACCTCCTCATTCAGTTTTGAATTTGTTGTGCTTTTTTCAGTACTGTTTGGCAAATAAGAGATTAGAAGATCTTTCTATAGAACTTTGGCTTAAAGAAGTTTAATATTGTGAATGCAAGCAGCATTAAAATTAAATGCAAATTTGTTAAAGACGTGACATTTATTGTTTGAATTTACTTCTGTAGAGTTGGGGACTTTGGAGAAAGCTTGTTATTTAAAAAAATAACACATTTTTTATTTCTTTTCTGTAGGAGATTCCTTTACGCAGTTCCGATTTGCTGACGAGAAAGAATGGGATAGAGAAAGCATATGCCATAAGCAGGTAACAGAACTGTCATTCAAATGAGTTTGTATGGATAATCGCCTGGCACAGAATACCTAGGCAGTTGTGCTTTCAGCAACAAATTGTTTAATACAATAATAACACTCTTTATTCTGCATATTTTTATTAATTTGTCTCTGATGTTGGAGGCTTTTGGGTCTTATCCTGTTTTTTTTCCTGTTGAAGACTAATCAAAGGTTTTTATGAGGTTTTTAAGTAATGTTGGAAGAAAAGAACAAGCAGATGCATCCAGTGAAGGGAAAATAAGGGACTGTCACTTTGTTTTATTTGACATATCAAGTCAGCCTTCCTTTTTCAGCTGTATTCAAGAGAAAATAGTGTAGTAAAATAAGAAAACCTATAGAAGTGTATTCATATATTTGACTATGAAGCTTGTTCTAGTTCTTTTAAATTAATAGTTCATACCTCTGGTTGAAACATCACCTCCAAAATGACTACGGAACCAATTAGGTTTTAGATTATTTGTATGTGGATTCTTTATGCTGCAATAAAAAGGGTCAAAGCAATAGGAGTCTGCTGTTCTCTATATCAGGATACTGGAAAGTGTTGTAATCTTCCTCACATCTTCCTCATATAAGGCACCTAAATTATTGCAAGATAAATGCTTTTGTCTTCCAAGCTTTTCTTAAAATTGCTGCGAAATTGTGCTTGAGTGTTACTTGAAACGTACATATGTATTCACATCTTAAAAGTTTGCTATTTATTTCCTAAAATAGCGATAATAATTATCCCCTGGGAAGTGATATTTAAAGGTACATCAAAGCTGTAACGTCAAAGTACAACGAGGAAATAAAACCAGGTGCAGCATTTCTTTAAACCAACATGTTTGTCCAGTGGGATACAGTCTTTCGATGACTGTATTTTTTCTTATCAGTTCCTGCCGCTCCCAGTGTGCAGGATGTCAGTATCCTGAATGTTAATTTCTTCATAATTTCCTCCTAGGCTTGTCATTATAGCATTTAGGTGATTGAACACATTCATTAATTTCTGAATGGCTAAAGCCATCGTGAGCACGTTGCCAGTGGATTTCACAACTGTTGTTCTGGCTGCCAGTGATGAGACCGCGCAGTTCTGGAGCCGGTCCCACGCTCTCGCTCACTGGGAAGTGTGCTGTGCTGGGCACGTTCTTCTGCCCCCACCCTTACCGAACTGTAGTCATTCATCCTGCCCCATCCAAATTCCTTGTTTCAAACTGTTTCCTGTCTCTCACTGGTCTTATGTCAGTTTGAAGTAGATTGCGGCACTGTCACCATTACCGTCACTTTGATTCCTTATTTTAGTCCAGAATCCCGGCCCAGATGGGTTCATAGCATTGTCTATTTTTTCACATTGTCTCTGGTCTTCAGCCTGTTATCTCCTTTTGTTTCTGGCCCATCTTTCTTTTCCCTGAAAGCTGGATCAGGGTCTAATTTTCATCCTAGATCCACTTTGCTAAATTCCTTGCCTTTGCCTCTTAGCTCACCTGTTTCTAGTTCTTTGCCTGTCTACACATGATGTACAGGATTAGAGAACTGTAAACTGAAGTGAGTAAGATGGAACAAAATAAAGCAGAAAAGGCATAAAAATAGTTACAGAGTGACTAGATATTTCCCATTCCCTATTATTTGTAGAAAGCAATGGCAAAGCATCAGTTTCAAATGTGGAATGGAAATGTAACGGTGACATCAACAATAACGAGTTTTCAGTTTATTAAGAATATTGCCATTCATTATTATAAAAAGTACATCTGGATTTGCTTTATCATATATTGATAAAATGCAATAAAAATGTTTCAGAACACAGTCTGCCATTTAAAAATCAAGCAGGTAATAGTAATTCAGATTTTTCAGTAACATAGCAATTCCAGCAACAAAGCCTGCCTCTACTTATTTTCTTGAACAAATAACTACATGTACTGTGAAATTTATGACTTATTAAATACTGCTTTGATCACTTTGGGTTTTTTATTCAAACATCGCTTTTAGTGAAGCCTCTACTTGGATATTGAATTCCCTCTTCTATTATATAGTTTCTCCAAATTCTTCTTTTTGTTCATCCTGAGCCTGTCCTCTTCCCTGTCTCCATTTTCACCTTCATTCACAATGTTCATTCACATTCATCTTTTTGCACGTGTACTTGGCTCGTCCCAAACACACTTAAATGTTATTCAGTGATACTTGACTTTTTACAATTTCTTATGTTATTAGATTCATACAATTTCCTTGTCCTTTGCAAATGTGCAGAAGCCATCCTTGATCTTCAGTATCTGTCAAAAGAAGTGGGTTTTCTGAAGTTCTAGTTCATTGCTGGGCAACAAGAATTGCTCGTTGAAGACTTTTTGAGGTTACTTGTACCAGTGAATCATCTTGGATGGTGATCACTAATTCATTGTAAAATAATGTTTGTTGTTAGTAAAGAAGAAAAATTCTAGTCATCAGATATTTGTTTGGTCCTTTTACTGTCATTACTGGATACCAGAACCAGAATTTGGATACAAGAAACTTAAACCAACCACATTGTTTATTTTTTAAAAATTTATTTTAATTTTGTAAATATGCTGTTGGAATATGTTGTCTTTGATGTTCATTCTTGCTGTGTGTGCAGGTGTCAAAAGCCATCCTGTTGACTGGCTCTTGGGAGCAGTGTGAAGTCCTTTGGCAAAGCTCTTATGATACAGCACAAAACACTCTCCCCTAATTTAGAAGTATTTGGACTTCTAAATGTTTGCGTCGGGCTATACCATATGAAGAGGGACACATTTTTGTCCCTTTAAGCTAGATTTAGAAGCAGCTTCTCTGCTTGCATGAAAGTGAGAGTATAGACTGAACTTAAGCATTTTGTTGTCAGATTTTAAAAAATGTGATGGATATCAAATTATCTTTTTCGTCGGTGGTGAATGTGCTCAGAATGTTCTGCTGTACTGTGGGCTCGACATCTGTTTAAGTCTACCAAAAAGTCCAGCGTGTTCTGTAAAACCATCAAATATTGGTGGTTTGTTTTGTGTAAGTTTGTTTTTAATTGTTTAGAGCAAAAAGAAAAAAAAAGGGGCCAAGAGAAAATGAAACTTCAATACCTGTCATGATAATAAGTGACAGTTCCACCTTGTAAGCAACTGGGCAGCAGTAGAGTATCTTTCTTGAGTATCTTGAATATAATTTTAAAAGTGTATGTAACTATAGTTTGTTGCTTTTGTAAGCATCGAAAGAACATTTTAAAAGATGGGGAAGTATAAAAAGGGTCATGTTGTTTAGGCACTAAAAACAGTTGAGCTGCACACAATCTACATGGTTTGATTGCTTAGAAAGCAGTAGCAACTCGTTACAGAACGGCAATTCCCACTGCATAGAAAGCTTCACAGATTAAAAGATGTTTGAGTTGGAGAAGCCTCTTATGACATTGTCAACTTGCAGAACTATTTCTGACTTTGGATTTTCAAGGCATCACCTAAGGAGCATTCCATTTATACCTTGTTTTTAAACCTTTAAGTGATTATTTGCATTCTACGTGTTTATATGGTCATTTAGCCAAACCGCTTTGTACATGTGTAATTTAAAACTATGAAGCCTTGTGTTCCGGTAGCTTGTTCCTCACATTCCTTGAACATGTTGAACAGGGGAATGTAAAGGATTAAAGTCATTATTAGTTCATTTTTTTTTTAATACAAGCGCCCTGTGTGTTGAATTATATTTCAGTTATCTGCACTTTCCGTTGACTGCCAGTCTTTGGTCCAGGCCCTTCAGGAACTGCCTCTGCATCTGAGGTTGAATGTCGCTGCTGAACTTGTGCAGGTAATGCTGTGAATTTTCATAAGAAAATGCAAATATTTTGAGTGAAACGATCTATGCAAGAATGATTACTTTAAACTTGGTCTTCAAACATAAGTAGAATGTATCTTATAAGTAAATACTTTTCTTGAGACTGGCACGTCACATGGCATGTAATGCAGGATAGCCCTCTATTAGCACTTTTTATGCTCATTGGCTTTGAACAAAGGGCTTTGATGTGCGGCACATTAGATTTGACACCAGGTATCCCAGTGTTTGACACTGAATGATCGCACTGTTTCTGTGTTTACTTCTCTTGTTAGCAGCTGTTAAAATCACGCGCCAAAATTTTGGAAGAGCTTTCACATTTTTTCCTGTTAATTATTTTAGTTGTGATTTACTCTTCTGCATAGCTAATATCAACGTACAAGTTTATGCCATGAATCAAAGTTACATCTGTGTTAGAACAGGTAGAACTGTCAATCAAACAGGTGACGAAAATGTCATTTATGCTCTGGTGGGGAAAAAAAGAAAGCAACAGAATATTAGGAAAAAATGTTTCTTCAGGCTGTGAGAAAGAAAATATTCATGTAAGGGCAAAAGAACCAACGAGACTTAAATATAAGCCCAAGATTCTTAAACAAAATCCATCTACTCCAGCAAGGAAAAAGAAAAAGGACCCTTACAGAAGAAATTTTACTTCTGTTTGGAGTTGCATGAAGTGCTTCTCTGACTGACACAGCTGTCTGTGCTCTTTCTTACAGGAGCTCAACTATGTCAGCAAATGGGATGTCTAAGGGAATCTGCAAATATATGTTACTTTCACAGTTTTCTTCTTAAGATTTTCAGTCACGGTCTTTAACTTTTATCGGGGTTGTGAAGTGTGTGTTACAACATTTAATCTTTGTGTGTCATTCTGACCGGTGATGTGGTCAGCAGATACGCTGCAGCGTTATTAACGCCGGGGCATCTGCATAAAAGCAGAGTCTGCATTCCATGGTTAAATAATGTGTTGCTATTTCTTGTTTCAGTATTTGATAATGTTTTGTAATTTGGTTTAATTTTTCAAAATATACAGCTATTTACTATAACTTTTGCTAAATGATTATCAGCAACCTGTAGTATGGTTTGCTTTCAAGACTGGAATTTTGGAGGGAAGGCCTAACATAGGATAATGTTTCTCGCCAAATTCTGACTTCAGTCATTCCAAAATTCAGAGTATTGATGGGATGTCATTACAGAAGAATTAAAGAAAAGTAACTCTCTGGAAGTATTTGTGAAACAACGGAGCTTGCTGATTTAGCACACCATCTCATATTCCATAATAAGGGATAAAAAGAGTTTTTATTTTGTACTTGCTTCTGCAGAAGTATCATCAAGATGGTAATTTTAGTTTGCTTTTACTTCTGAATTAAATTCTGCTGAAATTCATTGTGCCTTCTTAAATGATCAATTGTAGGAAGCATGAATTACAATCCAAATCAGACAGAATAGTAAAAATGGGTTTAATCATTAGAAAGACTCAAGCCCTTTCTTGTACTCGTAGGCATCAACACCTGTAGAGCTCCCACAGATGAAGACTAAAATTATTGAAGATGGCAAGAGGAGAGAGCTTCTGTTCCGACAGTCTCAGGCTCAAAGTGAAACGATGTTGGTCTCCCACCCTGTTGGTGATTCTGTTGCTGCATCAGAGCCGGGAAGGAAAAATGGTCTGAGGGCAAGTGCAGCAGAACCCTTCCAGAGAGCCCATCCGCTATCAAAGCAAGAGACTGACCATTTGGATGAAGAACTAGATCGTCTCCTAAATCTAGATGCTCCCATTGATACACAAAACAAACCTGTGTCAGGTGCATTATCCTACAACATATCAACGGAGAAAGACTTGAAAATGGATTGTAAGGAAAACGGTAAGATGTCTCTTCTCCCCAGCATGCCCTTATTTAATTTCCGTTGCTCTCTCTTTTGGTGATGTTTTTGAACTTTTGATGAGCCAGGCAACAGCACCGCTGTCATCATTTCATTTTTCTGGGGCTGTGTTCTGACCCGTTTGTTCCTTTCCAATTTTAACTCCCCACTGAACTAAAGTTTCAGAATTGTCAGTTAATTTTAAGCATTAATTCTTCTGTAGAACAGCATTGGTCTTATGATTCAGCAAAATTGTAAATTAAAAAAAAAATAATGTACTGCTAGAAAATTTTAGTGAGAGGAAGATAAAATCAAGGTTTTATGTAACATTATCGGCCCTTACTTCGCTGCGCTAATATGGTATACAGAAGAATTGACAGCTATTTCTGATGGCTTTGCTATAGTTCCTATTTTCAAACTTTACTAGCATTGATTTTACAAAATTAAGTTTAGTATGAAAACAGAACAAATACAAAAATTTTCATATTTCAAAAATGTGCTAAGTCCTTCCTTTTGTTTGCATTCCTAGAAGTTACAGTGTTTGTTAGATTTGCTGGCGACGGTTTGCTACTCCTCTCCAGTCCACAATGCTGTAAAATAATTTTTAGCATTGCTGATTTTTTGTGTATGATTTTCTTGCTAGCCTAAAAAATTAGTCCAACATGGTTGAACGTGTAAGATGTCACCAGAAGCAGTAGAGCAGGCCTTGTTACTTGAATCAGACAGAAGCCACATTGCTCTGGTTGAGCTTATTAAGCTCCTGGTTTTATTGTTGCTACTATTTTTGGAATATGACTCGCTGTTCTTCAAGACAGAGAGATTGCATTTAGTCAGTTGCGCATTAAAAAGAAAATGATCTGGGACAAAAGAGCTGGTGGGGAATTGTTTCCAGATTTTCAAGTCTGTTCTTTTCACTTTTCCAGACCCTTTAAAACTGGATGTGCCTAAAGAGAAGAGTACGGCATCACAGCAACAGCAAACTACATCTAAAAATGTTACTGAGGAAGAGCTTGAAGATTGGCTGGACAGCATGATAGCCTGAAGTTCAGATTTTCTTATGTGAATAATTGAATATAACAAACGTTAAGGAGAAAGTTGAATCTTCCTTTATCTCCTCATTATTTCTTGTATCTGTTTCACTTTTTGTTCAGTATGCCAAATGCCCGGTTTGCTTTGCTGGCACCTACAATTTTGTGCAAGCAAAATTCATTGAGCTGTGATTGAAAATTGTCTAAGGTCTAAAATCTGTGATGAAATCAGGATTTTCTTTGCTACAGATGCAGGCTGCAGCACATGAAGAGAACAGTTATTTCAGCTTGTACTCGCTCTAGGTAGTCCTTAAAATAAAGCTATGAATGAATAATGAATACATGTGGTTTTAGTCACCATCCTCACACCACATCTCTATATTGTAGAAGAACGAGAAAGAACGACAGCAAAAGTAACATTTGGTTTATAATACTTTATTGCAGTGGGCACTTTTTATCAGAAGAAAAAAAATGCATAATCCTAGCAGCTTCTACTTGCAGGTGACCAGAGAGCACTGTTTTGTTTTGGCCTAAGATTTAAATTGTGTTCATTTTGATACAGTGTATGTCTTTTAACAGCAGCATCTAATAAGCTGTTATTGAAGGTAGGATATAAACAAACTTCAAGTGCAATTTCATACAGAAAGACAGAAAAGCAATACAGGTAATGGATCCGTTCATCTCGAACACTAACATAAATAAAAAGTTTGCATAGCTATGTCTACCGAGGTTTTAAGGCACTTAATGTTTCAAGGTCGACGACGTGTTTGAAAAATGTTTTCTTTTGAACTGCTTAAAGCTTTTCAGGCTGTATCTTAATACATTCTCTAGCAAATACTGGGGGGGGGGAAAACTGGACAGCAGTTGGTTAAAGTATTTTTTTCTGAGGCGTGGCCTCTGATGTTCAAGTTCTTAAATGTCAAATGTTGTGCAATTAAGACACCTTTTAGCCCTTTCAACTGTACTGCCAAACACCAGGTTAATCGTGTGGTTAAAAAGTTGTTATTATTTCAGACCACGTTTGAACCGGAAGGCTTAAAGTTAATCTGGCATTGTTTTCTCTTTCCTAAGGAAAATTCCAACAAAAGACCTCTTTCATAGGTGGTAGGTACAAAAAACCTGTGAAACAGTGTCAAACTTTACGAACGTTCTGAAGTTTAAAGACATTTAAAGCAAATACAAGCTGTGAAATTACACCATGAAAAGAAAAGTAGTTTTTTTTGTATACTGGATCTTAACAGTTCATGACTAAATAATTTCTTTTGTGATATTAGCCAAGTTGATCCTCATACTGTTTCCGGAAGCAGTCCCCTGCTGGGAAGAAATCCCAACATCTTTCTTGGTACATCTTCCACACAAATGACTCCTGAAAATGGTAAAGAGTATTTATTATAACAGCCGCCTTCCTGTTAGTGCTCCAGGTCAACGTTTAACACCACCCAGGTACGGTGCCCGTTACCATGGGGTAGAACTGGGAAGACATTGAAACTGAAGGATCTTAACTCGAGACGTTTGTAGAAGTATTGCTCTGCGCTTTCCTTGGTTCCTTACTACTGAAATACAATCCCTGTTAGAAAAACTCTGTAAATGTAAATTAATCAGTCTAGTTATAGCAGAGCAAACCTGTACACAATCTGTATATATAAAAAGTGGTTTAGTTTGCTTGGAAAACATTGAAGTGTAAGGTATTTTTGTAGTGTTTGCACAACAGCATCTTATTTGAGATAAGATAGAATTAAATCCTATTTATTTTCTTATTTATTTACATTTAGGGCCTTACAACACTAAACATACGTACACACTTCCATATACCTGTCTATATGTACATGTATATGGATTTAGACTATAAATATAGTACCCTAACTACTTAATCTTTTGGGAATAAACCATAACTGGTATATTTCAGGGTGATAAGAGGACAGTAAGATTATTAGCAACTGACTTCTGAGAGAGTCAGAACAGCCCGCTCCTGCTGCCCACGCCTCTCCCTTTTTTTTAACCCTTCCTTTTCTTTCCCTGGCAGAAGACTCTCAGGGAAGGTGGCATCATCTCCACTCCTTGGTGGCACATCAGTTCCACCTGGTGGTACACAGCTACAAGGCTGGAGAAGATAAAAACGTTGAAAGATAATCTTAAGAAAAAAATTAAGTTTGATTTTTTACTCACCTGCCCAGTATGCTCAGTTTCATCCTTGTTAATGAGATACATTAAAAAGAACCTGAAACAAGCACACGAAACGAGTATTAATGCAGAAAACATAACATCTCTGCCTAACCTTTCCCAGGCTGGGGTATGGGAGGGGGATTGTGCCAACCAGCAAAGGAATGATATTGCTAGGTGTCTAAAGTGCTTATGTTGAAAAGTCTGTCCTTCCAGCCCTTCTCCTGTGGAAGCGCTAACACAGATGTAAAAGCTGGCAAGTGGAAAAACCATGATGTGGTTTAGCATTTTCTTCAGTTCAGTGCCAGGAGCAATACCTGATTTAGGACATATGCCAACTCCTGTACATGTATGCTCCAACATGTCACCCTGGAAGAAGTTACTCGGGCTACTATGCAAGAAGTTAGAAGTATGGCAAATACTCAGCTGCACCAAGACTTCCAAACACTCACGCCGTGCAGGTTCTAAGCTGAGCCTGGCTGTCTCCGATACCTGCGCTCACTCAAATGTAGACAGCTTGAGCTAATTAGAAAGGCTGTAGAGTACTAACAATAGTCGCTTTATATGTAACACAATTCCTGGTTAGACACTTTTGATGCAGTGCATTTGGAATGAAACCTGGTATGTGCTTTCATTGTAGAGAAAGGAATGTATACTGACTTTAATGTTTGTCTAATTAAAGGGCAACCTGGTTAGAAAGATTGTTCACTGTATATTCTAGTATTAAGGAAATGGCCATTTTTAATTTACTATGAAATACAGGTTCCTATATACCAGTTAAGCCATTCAAGAGAGTAAAAAAAGCTTGGAGGCTATAGACTGGTGACACTACGAATAGTAATGGAAATTTGCCTCACAAGAGTGATGTGCATTGATTTTGCAGTGTCAGTTGCTACACAAGAAATAACGCAGCCTCCACTCCAAGAGGCACACTTTTATTCTTTCTCTCTCTCTTTTTTTTTTTTTCTTTTTAATTTAGAAAGTTCAGATGCAGCATTCCAAAGTCAGACTTCTACAAGATACCACCAGTTCAACTCCTTTGGCTCTGCTGGCACAACGCTCATACAATTATCATTGTTGTATGAGTAACTAGTGCCACCAAATTAACTTTTTTAATGTCCTCTTTGATCTGCTCTGTATTTACTAATGAAAGTAGAAGATCACTGCCTTGGGAGTCTGGGCAATACATGTACAGCTCCTGGTCGCTTCGAGGTTTCAGAAAGCTGCACTGTCACTAAAGAACTACAGGAACTATACTTACAGATAGTTTGCCAAGTTGTGTTCTTGCAAAGTATGTGTTTCAAAGCCATGTGGGGTTGTGTCAAAATAGTCATTGCCGATTCCACAAATAAAACATTTGGTCTGGAAACACAAGTTGTGGTTACAAATTAATTTTAACTCAAAGACACTATTTTAACTGGTAACAATCTAGATGAACAAGAGTAATGAAAAATGTAGTGTGCTTACTCATACCTCCATATCTTCTCTCACTTGTTCTTGCTGGTCTCTTAGTTCACCAAAAGCATCAATGATCAGACCTATTTCAAATCGAAAAGTAACAGCACTTCAGTACTCAGCAATATTCACATTTCAAGTGTTTGTCAAACAGCCTCCACTGTCTTTGGAGTTTAGCGTACTTACGTCTAGGTTGAACAATTTAAGTTACAATCTGTCAATTTCCAGACATCTAACCTGACACTGCACTGCTAGCAGTAAGAATTTCTCTTACATAGAAGTACAGTCTTAAGAGTGGAAAAGCTTTTCTCTACTTATATTTTGGTCAGTTTAAGCTTCCATAATCTCATCTCTTTTGTTCCAATGAAAGAATTTAACTTTCATTCTCCTTTTCATGGAACTCTTGTATCCCAACTTTTGTTCAGCAAAACCACTCTGCTCCCCCAGGCCCCCCGGCCAGTTTGTGATGCCGCTTCACATTTGAAGCATTATTCCTCCACTTCCAACATATTAAGAATAGAGTTGGATCATTTGGGGGGCTGTAAGATTCATAACTTTTTCACAGGATAGATGTATTACATTTTGTCTTTGCCACCAGATTGCCATAAAATGGTGGGATTTTCCTGACAGCCTTACATCAATATATACAATGTGTTGAATACTGAAAGTCATTGAAGAGAGGGGTCATTCTCTGTAAACCACAACTGCAAACCATCCTCTAAAGAAAGGAGGAAATGGCTAAGTGGCCATGGTGACTTTTTCCATGTCATTTCCCCTTTCCAAGGGGAAGGCCTCCATTCCAGCTGTGGTGGTTCCAAACTGAAGGTGTGAAGAGTGGCTACAGCACAGATCTCCAAGTTTAAATGGTTATTATAGGAAGAACAGTGATCCTGCACAAGCTGTGTCGTTGCTGCATAGTTGTCAACGTGTTCATAAACACTGTAACCCAGATAAGTTATGTTTCTGGTGCTTTGTCTTTGTGTAGGACTTGGGACAACGCATTATTTAAGAATTAAGTATAAAATTACTACTTTCAGAATTAATGATTTTATCAGCTCAGAAATAAGTCTTTATAGCGGTACTACTAAATTTACCTCTAAACACAAATACGGTTTAAATACATTGCAGAAATTAAGTAAACTAAATTCTAACAGTCTCTACTAAGGTAAGTGTCAGTACCTTGAATAATGGCCAGCAGGATAACAATGACAAAGAAAAAAAATGTGATGTCAAAGACAATTCGATACATTTCATAAGGGTCTCCAGCAGGATCCTCAATTTCATCTCCAATGCCGCCACCAGCTCTCACACCCACATACATGTGGAACAGGTAACACTAAAAAAAAGGAGAGGAAAATTGCAGATATATTTATCATGAATTATTCTCTTTGGGTTTGTT